GAGAGAGAGAGAGAGAGAGAGAGAGAGAGAGAGAGAGAGAGAGAGAGAATAGAGATCAAAGAATCACACCCAAGACAGCAGAGATATAGAGGTGGTCGGGGGCCCCTTTACCCACAATATCTAGCACACTTGGAGTACCTGGCAGTGGCAGGTGGTGATTTAAGGTCCTAGGTCCCTAAGGGCAGACTAGTGGGAACATTCTCTTCTCTTTTTGTAATTGAAAAAAATGACGAAGTAGGAAGGGATGCTGGTGAGGCAGGGAGAAGGGATTGCATTCTTTATATGGCTTCCTGCCATCTTCCTGAAGGCAACAACACCTTTGGGGACCCAAGAAAACTGGGATGCTGGCCAAGTGCTGAGAGAACTGGTTGTTTCGCTCACTGTCCAGGCTCTGTGGGACCATCAGGAGCTAAGAGTGTACAGGCCTAGTTGAAGGCGACTGAACCAGCTGGGGATAGCCACTCTGAAGCTGTTCAGGATGCAGATTTTGAGGCAACACCTGGACTTGGCAGGATACAGAAACATATCTGTATCTTTATCTATATCTGTGGGGGCAGAAGATAAAGCTAAGGAGTCTAGGGCAAAACCCTTTTTTTCCGTTAAGTGTACATTTGAAACTTTTAGGCTCAGGGTCCTGGTAGTTGGAGGAGGGGAGTCCCAAGACCAGGGAAATGGGGAAGGATCCCACCCTCAGAAATAGGGAATAGGCGGGGGACCTTACACTGCTGACTGACAGGGGTACTTAACTGGAGTCTATTTGACTCATGAGAGGTGGATTCAAGTTGATCCCCTAAATCTTTTTTTTTTTTGGTTTTTCAAGACAGGGTTTCTCTGTGTAGCCTTGGCTGTCCTGGAACTCATTCTGTAGACCAAGCTGGCCTCGAACTCAGAAATCCACCTGCCTCTGCCTCCCAAGTGCTGGGATTAAAAGCATGTGCCACCACTGCCCAGCAATTCCCTGAATCTTAAAAGATTCCTTTTTTAGATTTGCAAAGAGAAAAGTCTTATACATTACCATTGCTTATAATCTGTACTGAAACTCACATTGTAGAAAAGGAAGTAGAATCACATCTTTGTGTCATAGTGGGAGTTTCGGAAACAGTTTTTGGTTAAAAGCATCAAGACTCTTTAAGGAAAGCTTAGGGAAAGACAGAAACCTTTATTTGAGCAGAGGGAACCAAAGCTCACTTGCTCTTTTATTTTCAATATGTACACAGACTGTGAAAGTGCAGTTTCTTCCCTCCATCCGGAAGACTAGAGTATACAGATGAGACAGATGTTTTAGCACAGGTACCTTTAAGTCTATACCTAGAAGACAATCAAATGAAATTGAGCTTGTGACTATGAAAATAACAGTAGTGCTTTGCCATAGCTAGACTAATAGTTTACCAGAATTCCACTGACTAATGTTAAAACTCTGAATTTTGAAGCCTTCTGTAGCCTAGTGAAGCAAAGAAATCTGAAGCATTTTCCAGTCTATTTATATACCTTAATTTACTTTCTTTATCACTGCTTAAGCCTCAACCTTTGTAAATTGCATTTACTAGTCTTAAGTTGTAGCTTGAATGTACATATCTTAAAACACCTCCTTAGATCCTAAACACTTTCTTAGACAACCTGAGCTTTCATATCCTCAAACCTTACATAAACTTTACACCTTTTCCTGATGCAACTATTTATCACAGGTGGTTGACTACTGGGCCCAGCTGCTGTAAAGTGGGTTCCTTGAAATGAAGGAACAGTAGAAAGTTACATTGAAATCTGTTTTGTGAGTTTCTCCTCTGAGACTGGTAACAAGGCAAACTGTATCTAGACAGAGACAGTAGCAGTTCTAGGAGAGTGAGGCCCGTGGCCTGATTTTTACACATGAAGAGAACTGAGAAGGCAGCTAAAACCTGGCTGCTGCTGTTAAAACTGATTAATCCATTACTAGCCTAGTGTGTCAGCCCCCTTCAGAGACGTGGGAAGGATGAAGTTCACTTGAGTAAACTAGAAGTACAGACCAAACAGCTTCTGAATTTATTAAAAATGACAGAGACTTATTCTGATACCTGGAATGCCAGGTTCCTCTGTGGTAGGTGGAGAGCAGCAAGAGTTTTTGACCCAGAAGATCCAACGGACTTTGCTGTGGAGTAGGAACTCAGGCGAATTCTCCTACCTTGTCTAGTAAATCAAGGCAATCAATTCTCCAATGTGCTATTTGTCCACAGTTTGGACACTGTACTGTCAGCTGTTGAACTATAGGGTAATTTTTGTTCCATGGCCAGCCTTGCTACATTTAAAGCAAGCTACAGATAGACATCCTTCTGTATCCATCATCTTTGGAGTTGATTAGGGGAACTGCCAGGAACTGGTGTGTCTCTCTATCATGAAAAGCTTTTTTTTTTTTTTTTTAAAAAAAATTAAAACTCCTTAAATGCCATATTCTAAGAGATCTCTGAAGACTACCTATCTGAAGTATATATAAATAGTCAAACTTTGCTTGTTTCTAGTTACTTGTTTTAGGCTTAATTAAACACACACAGGAGTCTAAGTAAAGCTATTCCTGTAATTCATTGCATTAGTACTTAGCATGACTACCAGTATAGTTCTGAACACATTAAAAGATTTGTTTTGGATTTCTTAATTATTCTAAGAGTTTACAATGATTTAGCAGCTTTCTTAAAACTAGGACTTTAGGTTTAGCTCTAAAAATCACAATTTTGTATTGAAGCTCTTCTGGTATCAAAATAAAGCTTTTAATCATAGATACATTCCACCAAGAGAATTACAATTTTACTGATTCTTTTATAGTGCACCATTATAGGCCATTGTAGTTTTTATGGCATTGCTTAGTTCATTATCCAAATAGCTAAAGCTTAAAAGGTAAACAAGCTAGACAATTATTACATAGTGAACATGAGCGGACCTTAGAAATGTCTAAATCTTGATTATTAAATATAGCTTATTTATGAAATATATATCATGTGGTCATCTTAAAATGGTGAAGTCACATGGCTTGTACATTTAAACCTTAGTAAAGATGGTTGGTGGCCATATGGCCATTTTCATCCTGGTAAGGTCACCAGCCAAGATGGAATCACATAGTTGCTATTTAAAAATTTGTTTTTCTAATGTATATGTATTCCTAATATACTATATATAATTATATATTGTATAGGGGAATTTTCTAATACATTTCTAAAATACTCCATTCATACACACACACACACACACACACACACACATTTGAATCCAAGTTACATGTACATATACACAACTTTTAAAAAGTGAATCTAAAGTCTCGTTCAAGGTCGCTTCTACTGACTTGTCTATTTAATCCTTAAACAAAAATACCATACCCAGGCTATTTGAAGTTTCAGTTTTAAACACTCGACTTAAAATATTGAGAAATAATGGCTATTGGCAAACCATGCAGATTTACTTCCTTTAGTTGAGTAAATTAATCTCTTAGGTGTTTGTTCTTTTGAGACTCAAGGACTAGACCTAGGTATCATAGGGTTATTAGGACCCTTGTGTTTTAAGTTCAAACAATATTTAAGTGGACTACAGAGAATTCACTGCTGATGGGCAGTGTCTATGTGATTAGCTGAACCATAATTACTTGCACACAGTCCTGCAGATGTGAAATCAGCTATTTCCCTTTGATTAGTAAATCAGCATAAGAGCTCTAATTTTGAAGTCTTGAGTGGCTCTGAAAAGAGCCTTTGGATTTGCTGTGAGCTCTGCGCGCTCACTTGGAGCTGGTGTACTTAGTGACGGCCTTGGTGCCCTCGGACACGGCGTGCTTGGCCAGCTCCCCAGGCAGCAGTAGGCGCACGGCCGTCTGGATCTCCCGGGACGTGATGGTCGAGCGCTTGTTGTAATGCGCCAGGCGCGACGCCTCGCCCGCAATGCGCTCGAAGATGTCGTTGACGAACGAGTTCATGATGCCCATGGCCTTGGAGGAGATGCCGGTGTCGGGGTGCACTTGCTTCAGCACCTTGTACACGTACACCGAGTAGCTCTCCTTGCGGCTGCGCTTGCGCTTCTTGCCGTCCTTCTTCTGCGCCTTAGTCACGGCCTTCTTGGAGCCCTTCTTCGGGGCGGGAGCGGACTTCGCGGGCTCAGGCATAGTGAACACAGAATGAAGCCAGACGAAGAAAAGAGATATTAAGAAGAGGTATCTTCTCCCTTTCCTGTTCTTTAAATAAAGCTGTGGCTGTCCTTGTCAGAGAGTCTGTAAACGTCATGCACTAACTGTCCAATCAAAGGAAGCACATTCGCTCAGTGGTTAGTTGAATGTATATTATGAAGGATAAGCCGGCTGAAGGTTACAGAAGGTCTATTCAAATGAAGTCTCATCTTTCTTTGTTCTGATTGGCTAAACTCATTATGAAAACTAGAGGAAATAAAGTTTTTTTAGGAACTAGTTGGTACGTTGATACTGGACTAAAGGCAAAGTCATTTTTCTTTTAAAAGTTATTTCATCAGTAGTATCAATAAATTCTGTCCACCTATATACGAAATTTATATTTAAATTCTAGCTTCATGTAAAGTTGGTTTCCTGTTTTAAAATAGTCTATGAAGAAGGATGCAGAATGGAAGACTTAACATACTATTATTCTCTTACAGGTGAAGTAATTATTGTACAGTCCAGTTAAACTGGGCATGCTTTTCATTTGGCTCAAGAGTCCTTAGAGTTGCTGCCGCGCTGCAACAGTAGTTCAAATTCAATGAATCCTGTACATAGTTGCTGGAAATCATGCTAGTGTTTTTCTGAAGATAATTAGGTTTACTCATGCTAAGAAATTTCTAAAGCTCATGAACTGATTAAAAGATGTACAAACTTGTGCGTGCCTGTTCGATTTCATTTCGGTCCGGATAGTAAACTGCTCCCTTTCATCTCAAACACAATTTAAGGGAAAAGACAAAACTCAGTTCGGGTAACAAAGTTCAACAAGTAACCCTTAGAACCGCTCTGGCATTGCCAAAATCTACATAGTATCTCTTACTAGATTTTTTTAAAAGCAAAATGTAACAATTAAGGTGCTTAAGGCAACAATGTCGCTGAGAAAGCAATATTTAACGAAAAACTGTGAGCCAGGTAATAAAGCAGATTTCTATTGGTCACAAATTTAAAGTTGAGACCAATTATCCAATTGCTAACTACTTCCGCATACATCATCCGCATAAGGCGCTTGAAGATTTCAACCAATCAGGCACATCTGGCCTCTATAAATAAGAGCCCACAGCCCTTTCTCTTCCATTTCTTGTTCCTTTCTAGTTATGGCTCGTACTAAGCAGACAGCTCGCAAGTCCACCGGCGGCAAGGCCCCGCGCAAACAGCTGGCCACCAAGGCTGCTCGCAAGAGCGCCCCGGCCACCGGTGGCGTGAAGAAGCCCCACCGCTACCGCCCCGGCACCGTGGCTCTGCGCGAGATCCGGCGCTACCAGAAGTCGACCGAGCTGCTGATCCGCAAGCTGCCGTTCCAACGCCTGGTGCGCGAGATCGCGCAGGACTTCAAGACCGATCTGCGCTTCCAGAGCTCTGCGGTGATGGCTCTGCAGGAGGCGAGCGAGGCCTACCTTGTGGGTCTGTTTGAGGACACCAACCTGTGCGCCATCCATGCCAAGCGTGTCACCATCATGCCCAAGGACATCCAGCTGGCCCGCCGCATCCGTGGAGAGAGAGCTTAATTTTCCTTGAAAGACGACGAACCCAAAGGCTCTTTTCAGAGCCACCTACACCTTTCTATGAAAAGTGCTGTCTCATAGGTTTGGCTCCATGGCTAAAGAGGTGGTGAAAATACACTATGGATCCTTACTTGATCATTGTTACAATGCCCAACTTCTATTTTTAGCCTTGTGATATAAGGGAGGTAGTGTTGCTTAAGTGTTAGCTCTCTCCCCTGAATACTGGTCTGTACTCGACTGAGTCCCCTTTTGTTAACTCTGGTCTTCACTTCATCGAAATTTGCTGTTAATTTGGCATGTCTATGATCTTAGAGGTTGAGAGGTAGGAGCCAGGAGCAAGGTGAACAAAATTGCCAATTGAGAGATACTTTGTCTTAAAAAGAAACAATATAACTCAAATAGTTGATGGGTGAGGTCCTGAGTCATCTGGGCCATGGAAAAAAGAAAACAACTGTCAGGTAGTCTTGAAGATGCCTTGTATCCGTGGCATATAGTTCAAGTTTAAAACAGACTTAAACGATACCTTAGCCAGATAAAATAGCTCTTAAGGATAGTGAGAAATGGCTCTTAAGGATAGTGAGATTTAACAGAGAAAAGAGATGATTTGGACAGCATATTTTTTTCTTTGTTTTTGTGTTAAAATCTTGTTTTCAGTCATGTGAAAATTATGTGGAAAATATCATTCTTCGGAGGCTCATTCAAGTATTCAGGGATAAAATTTCATGATGTCTGTCTGAAATTTACTTTCAAATGCTTCAGACATGGTTGCACGTGTGCACGAGTGTGCCCATACCTCCCCACACCTACATCTCCTCCCACCCCCACAGTCCAGTCGTACTTAGGTGGTAGAGGATACATTTTATTTATTTTCGAGACAGAGTTTCTCTGTATAGCCCTGGCTGTCCTGGAACTCACTCTGTAGACCAGGCTGGCTTCGAACTCAGAAATCTGTCTGCCTCTGTCTCACAAGTGCTGGGATTAAAGGCGTGTGCCACCACTGCCTGGCTTATTCATTATTTTTATTCAAAAATTTGAGGCAACTTAAGTGGATGACAAAATTGTGTGTTAGAAACTCTTTAGAGCAAAGAGAGAGAGAGAGAGAGAGAGAGAGAGAGAGAGAGAGAGAGAGAGAGAGAGA